CTCTAGGTTGAGCTGTTGTTCAGCATCTTAGCTGTGGAGGGCAGTGTCACTGGCCCTCATATGTGGGATCCGAACCGGGGCTCTCTGGCGTCCCAAGCCAGCTCCTAACCATCGCGCCACTCGGCCGGCCCTAAAGTATGATTTTTTTTTTAACATGAATCTGTCCAGCCTAGGGTCCGGGCCGGGGTCCCTTCAGCAGCTTCTCCCAAATCAGGGAAGCCTGGGCCTCCACGTCAAGTCACTGTTCCCTGATGGGGTTTGTGGATACGATTCCTCTCAAAAGATGCTTCATTAATAAAAAGGTTGTTCAGATAAATCTGTGAAATGCGATAGCTGATGGCCTGGAACTCACTTCCGACCACGCTGGGTGTGGTGGGCTGAGTAATGCTCCCTCCCAATATGCCCTTGTCCTAATTCCTGGGACCTTCTGAGGCATAGTTTGCAGAGATGACTAAGGATCTTGAGATGAGAGATTATTGTGGACTATCCTGATGGCCCTCAGTGTCGTGTCCCCGTGAAGAGGGAGGCGGAGGGAGACTTACAGGGAAAGGGGTCCCTGGCTTCCTGTGGGAACGGAATTAAAATGTGAGCTGATACAGGGTTTAAAGTGAAAGTGAGTTTATTTAGCAGAGAGTAAGAAGACAAAGGCGCCCTATAGACAGAGTGGAGGTCTGTACCCCCTAGTGGGAGAGGCCTCGCCTTCTCCCCCCAGGGTTAGGGTTGGTGTGTGTTTTCCACCTCATGGAAAATTCACTGGTATGGGGGGTAGGGGCAATAGAAGAATGGTAAGTTTGTCTTGAACTCCAGTAAGATGCGAGAATAGGGGCATGGGGCAGGTTTGTCTTGAACTCTTCTTGTAAAGCACAACCTGTGTGTAATCTGCCCAGGGGGGTCCTGATGGAATCTCGGCTCTGGAGTTGGCTGTGTCACTGACCGCCCTCCGTCAGAGCTCTGTGTCTTGGGTCACGTAGGCAGAGGGGTTGGAACCCAGCCTCCAGGTTCCCTCTTCTGCACGAATCGTCCTCATGCTCCTTGCCTGTATTAACTGGACTGTCCAGGGAGGAAGGAGGCAGTGGCAGCAGAGATCTGAAGAGATCTGATGAGAGCCGGGCGGGCGGAGCCGGGCATGCATGGAATGTCACTCTGGAAGCTGGAAAAGGGAGGGAACACAGGATCTCCTAGAGCCTGGGGGTTGGGGGGCGTGGCCTGCCAACACGGTGGCTTCTGCCCAGTGAAACCATTTTGGAGATAGTCACTGTGTTGTTTTCAAGTCCCCACATCTGTGGTCATTTGTTACAGCAGCACAGGGAACAAACACGCTGGGTTAAGTTCTAGGAACCGTGGAGGAGAGCAGAACACACGAGCCCCTAAGCCTGTTTCTTCATTGGAAAATACTTCCTTACGCTTAGCGTGGAGACTAAATGCAGCTGCAGGACAGTGAGTATTCAAAGGTCCGGTCCCTCCCCTGGTTTTCTCTTCACCGGAACCGACAGACACTTGTCTTCTCCCAGGCAGCTCCGACTGCTAAGTCACACGGGGTCCCTGCTCTGCTGGCCCTGCTCAGGGACACACGTGCCCTCTGTGCGAATAAACCCGGAGGTGGGCTGATCCGGTGGGTCCCATCCTCTACAACTACGGTGTTTGCCCATCATAACATACAATTCCATTCATCCCTCACCTGCCATTCAGTCAGCGGTTGTGATGGTTCATTTTCTGTGTCAATTTGACTGGGCTATGCGATGCCCCGATAGCTGGTGAAACATTATTTCTGGGTGTCTGGGAGGTGTTTCCAGAAGAGATTAGCCTTTGAACTGGCGAGCTGAGCAAAGCGGAGGGTCCTCCCCATGGTGGGCGGGCAGCATCCAATGCCTCCAGGACCCAGACAGGAGCAAAGGGCAGGGGAAGGGCCGGTTCCCTCTGCTTGACCTGGACACCTACCTCCCGCCCTCGACGTTAGCCCTCCTGGTTCTGAGCACACCGTCTGCTCCCGATTCTCAGGCCTGTGGACACCCCAGCCCTCGTGGGTCTCCAGCCTGCAGACAGCAGATGGGGGGGCCTTCTCAGCCTCCATAACCACGAGCCCGTTCCCATAATAAATCTCTCACACGTGTGGACAGGTAACATTCTACGGGTTCTTTCTGTGGAAAACCCTGACGACTCTGGCTGTTAGATACAAACCGTTCCCCTGAAAGGGGGAGAAGGGTGAGGGCCCAACAGCCTGAGGACCCTGCACCAGGGCCATAAACCGCCGTGACAGCAGCTGCAGCCGCCACACGCACTCACCGCAGAGACGGTCAGACGCTCAGCCCCATCCTGTGTGCTGCGTAACCAACTGTGAGAGGCGGTGAGTTTCAAAACGTGAAACAAAGGATTAACAGTGTGATTTATTTAATTCCTGTGGACAAATCAACGGTACATACAACAGGTAACAAGCGTGGAGACCCGTTCCTCCCCTGCAGCCCCCTGTGGAAACAGGGCTTTCTCTGATGGCTACCTTCCCAGACTGACCTTCCCAGTTACCCAATACCCTCCCCATCCTGTCAGCTTTCTCAGTGGAGTGACAGGGGAGCTTCAAAACTGCCCACTGGCAGAAACCATCTCCACTGAGCCCACTGGGGCCTGCAAAGGAATGCGTTCTTGAAAGTAAGTTGGTGAGTGAGTGAGCACGGGCCGTGCGCCCATCCGGGGAAGGACAAAGCACAATCCAGGTCCCTCCTTTCCCAGAAGCGTGTTTCTGCCTCATTCTTGAAGATCACACTGAAATCTGCTTTAAGGAAAATTACAGCTCTCTTGATTGGTATCGAAAGGCACTTATGCACATTTTCATCAGAAGACTCTGAACTACAAAGGTCACAGTGGGCCATTCTCCTGCCGAGTGACCGAATCCTGGGTTTAAACGGTGTGCCTGCCGCGCACTGCTGTCAAGGGACCTCAGCCTGGCACGTCGACAGGTTTCATGGCACATTTTCAAAAAACAGATTCCACATCTCCCATCTCCACGTACACAGTCTTTAGTTGTGAATAACATTCAACTGTCACACGGCCATTCTCTCTGCCAAACCCTGAAAGGAAAACAAGGGGTGACAATGAGGCATCGCCACCATGGTCTGAAAGGTCACGGTGACCTTCAGAGACAGGCACTTCCGATCAGCAGGGAGAAGAACACAGAGCCAAAGTCTGGGACAAAGGCCCCCGCTGCACGTGTCAGCTGCAGAGCGAGGCGTGGGGAAGTGACGTGCTGGCCGTGGGGGTGGGGCAGGAAAAGAGCCAGGTACCAACTCTTCACAATACGAACCTTTACCTCCGGGACCTACTCCTCCGGGTTCAGGTCTGCAAGCGTCTGGCCTTTCTCATCAAGCGTCAAAGCAAAATCTCTACAACTCTCGACCTGCTGCCTTTGACACTTAATTCTACAGCAGAGGTTTATTAGCCTTTTCTTACACTGAATTCATAAGCGCACCGCACTATTTACACCCAGCCTCCTCACGTGGACTCTCACTCGTCGGGTTTCTCAGAGTCCGAGCGCTGCTCAGCTGCCAGTGGGTGAGGTTCCATGCTAAGGGGACAGCATCCCTGCTTGGCCTTCCCTGTCACTCTGCCCCCAAGAGCTAGGCCCAGTCCCCCAAACGCATGTCTCCAGGGGGCACCCTTCAAAGGTGACGCACTCAAAGGCCCTCGCCCTGTTGCTTGTGCCTTCCCAAGTCCTGAGCACACAGCCGGCGGGGCCCGTCAGGCCAGGGGCTGCTGTGCACAGCTGACCATCTCTCTGTGCCTCATCCCGTGGAGGCATGCCCCTGGCAGTGACCCAGAAATAGATTTGGGGAAGGGAAAGCTGGCCTAGGACGCCCCACGGAGGCCAAGCTGCAGACTCCAAACAAACTTCTCCCAGCACTGACGGTTTCACTAACCAAGCGGCGCCCCGGTTCCCACTCTGCATGTGGGTGTGTGTGTGAGGACCCTCTGGGTACCCTACAGGGACGAGGATGACTAGGGGACTGTGATTAGGAATGCCAGGAGAAGACAAAACTAAACACCAAGTAAAACTGGCCAATGAACAGCCACCGTGTCATCAGCGCCCATCAGGTCTGAGTTTGCCAGCCCCTGTGGTGGCTGTAAATCTCCACTAAGACACTAGGGGTCAGACTCTTAGGACGGCACCTCTACAAAGTCCAAACCAACTTCCCTAAGAAGAGGGTGGGAAATCAGTGACCCTTTAAGGCAACAAACTCCAAAGAGAGGCCCTCAGAGCAGCGGCCATATTCCTGACGTCTCCAACCCCTCCTGACATACTAGATTGACAGCTCTGCCGTGATATGGTGACATGTCTGATCGACTACTGAAGAAATGAAATGAATGGGCGGTGGCTTAGGGAAAGTTCCTATATGCCACCCGGTGCAATGACAATGACAACAATTGTTAAATCTTATATTAAGGGATGTTTATTAATTCGGCATAATACAAAAGACAAATCAGTATCTGCTTCCTGAGACAATACCTTAGAGACACTACGTAATCAGACCCACACACTCCGCAGTGGACAGCGAACATTGCCGGGACAGGCCTCTGGAGGGACGGTTTTACTCGTTCAGCGATCAGGCTGAGAAAATGCCACTGCCCACAGATACACCTTTCTGAGATGAACATTAGCCAGGCTACATACATGCGAGAGCGTCCTGGAGAGCTCCAAATTAAAACAATTAGAAGATGCTCGCTTCTCCTCCCTGGGGCAGCGGGTCTGGGGACCTGGAGTCTGTGTGCTCTCCCAGGAAACTGGTCTGGAGGCGTGGAGTTACGACCGACACCCCTGAGGCGGGTTTGCCCCCGACTCTCAGCTCCTCACCTCCCACCCCTCAGCTCCTCACCTGACTTCTTGTAGCCGCCGAAGGGCAGCTCCACTGGGTTGATGTTGTAGTTGTTGATGCAACACACTCCGGCCTGGAGCTCGGCCGCCACCCTGTGAGCGCGCTGCACGTCCCTGGGAAGGAACAAAACGCACTGCTGGTCAGTTTCTCCGGCTGCCACTTCAGCAGGAAGAGTCAGAGTGCCAGTTCTCACTAACACACAGCCACACACAGACCCCTGCACGGACACCCACAGGGGCACTGGTCACACAGCCAGGAAGTGGAAACAAGCCAGTGTCCCCGACGGGTGAGCGGGCCAGCAGTGTGGTCTATCCGTGCGGTGGCGAGTACTCGCTCTAACAGCGAGGAACAAGGCATGGCCACCGGCTGCGGCATGCATGAACCTTGCAAACGGAACGCTGAGTGAAAGCAGCCGTCACCAAAGGTCACGTGCTGGGTGACGCCATTTAGAGAGAACACAGAATAAGCAAATCCACAGAGACGGAAGGTCTACTGCTGGTTGCCAGTGGCTGGAGAGAGGGGAGAATGGAGAGCGACTCAAAGTTCCTGAACTGATGAAAATGTTCTCAAGTTAGAACAGCTCTGTAAATGTACTAAAAATCACTGAACTGCACACTTTAAATGGGTGAATTAGCCCAATTAAGCTGTTGAAGGAGCAGCGTATCAGGGGCCCTCCTTTGTGACTGGCCTTTGTCTGTGTCGTGGTGGCAGTGTCAGCAGAGACCTACCACCCTCAATCCTCATGTGGAAGCAGCAGTTCCTCAGAGGGGCCTTAGGGCCTGAAACGACAACGCCTGCTGCTGTGACAATGGACTCCTGTCGCCACACGTGTGTCCAAACCCGGAGAGTGAACGACACTGAGCGTGAACCCGCGTGAACTACGGGCTCTGAGCAGTTATGACGAGTCCGTGTAGGTTCATCACCTAACAGAGGTCCCCTCTGGTGGGGGTGGTGACAGTGGGGGAGGCTGTGCATGTGTGGGGACAGGGGCATAGGGGAATCTCTGTACCTTGTTCTCAGTTTTGCTGTGAACCTAAAATTACTCTAAAAAATAAAGTCTATTAAAAAAAAACAAAGAAGCGCTAGCTCCTCAACCTTTCCTTCAGAGCTCGAAGAGAAGCTATTAAGTCAAGTACTCGCGGGAGACTGGGGTCTTCCTTCCCAGGTCCCTGACCACAATGCTAGAGAGAAGTTTAGCCTGTTTATCACCAAAGAAACAGCAAAATCCGAGGGGTGAGCAGTTGTAGAGAACTGCCTCCAACTGCCACAGACTAATCAAGTAATCATTTGCAAAGACATTCTGCTCCGAAATCACTTTTTACTTTTATTATGGTGCTTAAAGTTTCTGTAGAAAGATATTAATCACATACCTCACAATACCTGAAACTGGAAACACCCTTATAAGCAACAACAGAAAAAAAGCTGACATGGGTCACAATGCATTCTGATTAGGAATTACTGAAGCCACCAAAATGCATGATTCTGAATGCTGCCTGCTATTTATACGTGTCCAGGTTCCTAACTTCCCGGACATGTATGTTTTCAATAGGCACCTGATCCAATGCTCTACACAGGTCAGCACCTTAAATATTTGTATTCAACTCATTGATGAAAAAGGACAGAACTTTCAACAGCCAAATTTATGGCTCAACTTAAACTCAATAGCAGGGTTCTCTGGCCATTCAGGGCAAAGTACAAACTTCCTTTGTCATGTGCTGACTCTACCTGGAGCCAACAGGAAGTGCTGATGAAAAGGCAGTAGGAGCAGACTCAGGGAGGGGTTGAGAGCGGTGGGCGGTGGGGGGGGGGGGTCCCTCCCAACATACCTGGTGAAGACACCGCTGGCTAATCCAAAAGTGGTGTTGTTGGCTCTTTCCAGAACCTCAGCTTCAGTGTCAAATGATAAAATGGACATAACTGGTCCAAAGATCTCTTCTTTCACACAGGTCATGTCATCTTTGCAATCAGCTGCAAACAGTATAAACCACACGTTAGTGAAAGGACTGTTATTCCGGACACCTGAAAACGTCTTCCTGTTCACAGTATACAATGAAATGCACAGTTTTAAAAACTTCCCATAGGACACGCCTGTGTGACTATCCATCGGAACAGCCCTTCTCACGGCGCTCTGACAACATACATTCAAGAGCCATGGCCCCTGTGTGGGACGGAAGCAAAGGCGGAGGACAGCAGGATGACCACATACTTGATTGTCCAAACCAGGAGACTTTTAAGATTGAAAGGAAGTACTAAAACTTATTAAGTCATGTAATTTTTAAAAGTAAACACATATCTGAAAATTGGTTTTATTACATTGATAACTTAAGCTCAAAAAAAGACACATTCTTATCCATAACCTTTCTTGAGAAATGAAACTCATTACTCGATTTTTTCTCAAATATGAACTTTCATTTCTTTGAGCTCCTCACTTCCAGAACAACCGGTGTGGACCCAGTAAGTCCCGGTGACCTGACACACAGGGTTGTCCCCGGGGAGGGGCTTCAGGGTTGCAGGGACTTCTGGAATCTGTGTAGCGGGGACACACAGTTTGCTACCCTTGCTTTACACCATACACCTATTTTATAAATATTCTTTTCAATCTGACAACTAATTTAAACCATTTGAAGGCCAAGAAAAAGACATACTTAATACACAAGGTGTCATGTAATATCCGCCCTTTAGTTTGGGGTCTCTAGGGACGTGTAGGTCTCCTCCACATAACACTTTAGCGCCCTGCCAAAAAAAGGATGCGTGTTTTATGCACTCAGCACACAGCCTCCACACGCCCCCACCGGCGCGTCCTGAACAAATGCATACTCAGTCGCTCCCCGCAAGTGCAAAGCAGAGCTGGGTGGGTCTCACCCCAAGGAAGGCACAGCGCCAGGCAGGGAGAGGTGACCGCCCTGCCCCCGTCCAGTCCTGTCCCCACCAGTGTCTCACCTGCTCCTTCGCCTGTTTAACAAACCCAAGGACTCGCTCCAGGTGTGGTCGGTTGATGAGGGGACCCATCCTAGTATCTTCCAGAAGGGGATCCCCAATTTTTATCCTTTGGGTCGCTTTCACCACTTGCTCTGTAAATTTATCAAGAATTTCCTTCTGTACAAACACCCTTGTGCCATTACAGCAAACCTAAAGGGCAAACGCACATTCATCAGTGAGCAAAGAAGAAAAAAGGAAAAGGGGAGAAAAAAAATCCAATAGCTTTAAACTTAAGACACTATACTTTTGTAAAGGTAGTTCCACCTACAAATATTACCCCACAGTGACAAGGACGACACATGTGACTGTGGACACATCACCCTATGTACGGAACAAGCTGTCTGCCCTGGGTGATAAAAGTTCTACCTTTGTGTTTGTTTAGGCCATGAAGAGGTCCACATGCCTCTCAGGGCCTCTACTTCCTCATATCAGCTGCTCAAGCGGCTGTGCATGATGAGAGTAATGGGTGAGAGTGGGGAGGGACTAAGTAAAAACAGGTAAGAACTCAGGGCCTGAACCTAATAAAAACCCAGAGCATCTCACAAAGTTTGTCTCTAACATCACAATGACTATTTAGACTCCCCAACAGACAGGAACCTCAAGATTGTTCAAATGCTATCAGGACAGATTAGAAAAGAGTCAAAACAGGTTCCAGTGCTCATGACATTTAGTTTATGAGAAGCAAAGGGGGACAGGGGAAGGAATTTCAAACCACTGGAGCAAAGACGAACGAGTGAAAAACGGCGCTAAAACTGGTTAGCCACCTGGACGATGAGGGATGTGTCTCCCAGCACACACGACAATGAACTCCAATTGTATCAGGAACCCAAACATAAAATACGGAACCACAGAACTGCCCAGAGAGAATACAGGTGAATGCCTCCATAACCCAGCTTAACGGAAAGGTTTTCTAATTGTTACTCAAGATCTAGAGGCAATGAAAGGAAAAACACTGTTTGTGATCACAAAATACTGGAAACACCCGCAATGCCCACACAACAGAGCAGCTGGAAAAGATCTACCGGCTGCACAAGGAATTATACTGTGCAGCTGTGAAAAGAAAAACGGAGGAGAGTTCTGTGAAATAAAGCAGTGATTTCCAGGATGAACTAGATGAGAAAGCAAGTGCCAAAGAGCACCTCTCCTACGCTGACTTCCGTGCGTTAGGAAGAAGGGGAAGCAAGAAATGCACAAGTACCCTGTATAAAAAGAAACACAGAGAGCAAATACCAGAAACGGACTAGGCTGGCTGGCTCCAGGGAGGAAAGGGTGGGAAGAAGGAGAAAATGGGGACCCATTAGGAGGAACAGGAGGACTGACATGTCTGTGGCTTTTTTGTCAAGTTCTGCCATTTAGAACCATGTTAGTAGTTAACCCCCCCCCCCCGCCCCGGCAAAAAAAAAAACACCCCACAAAACTCAAATCAGCAAGGATGGGAGAAAATAAACCTCAAATGAAATAAAACAGAACTAAGTGAACTTGTTACTTATAATGACTATCTTAACCACAGGGTGGGGCAAAGGAAGAAGTGATCCAATCGCCTTTTGAACACAGAATTTTAAGTATGGCTTCATGCTAAAGACAAAAAGAACTGTAAAAAAATATGAACTCTAGTTAGAAGTTTTATTTTTCACAGTTCACAAATCTGAATTTACAATAAATGTATTTTAGGACTGAACAATTAAATACACTGTGGATACTGGAAGTCAAACTTCTGTTAGAGAAGAAAATTATAAACATGGACAGGAGGAGGAAAAATAAACCCTGTAGTATTGGAATGATGGAAAATATCTGTATGAGCTCATGGGTATTAATATAAATGCAGAAATAGGCGTGCATGCGCATGTGTGCATGTGTGGGTGTGCGTGTGTGCACATACACACACATGCAAACATGTATTTCCTAGCTCTGGCCTCTGAGAGGGACCTGGAAGCAATGACACTCCAGCAGTATGCATCTAGCTGGCACTCAGATACGGGTTTCTAAATAACATTCACCACCAAATGGAACCAGGCCTCCTTAGAGAAATGGCTGATTGCAGAGCTCGGCCACGAAGTACAAGATGTGTTTCAGGAAGTAAAGTGCTCAAGGAATAATGAGGACACATCAAAAGGTCACAGAAAGGGGCTCCCACAAGCCAAACCTGCAATTATTGAGCATCAAAATACATAATGAGAGTAATGGATTACAACCCACAGAGTAAGAACCCCTGGGTCCATGCCGATACAAGTGCATGAATGAAAAGCAGGCGAGAAAGAAAAGCTCTTTCTTACAGGAGAATGTGAAGTAAATAAATGCAGAAGGAATAACAGAGTTGAAAAATCACTGTTTGGTGGCCATCACAATAAAAACTGTTTCAAGCAAAAATCAAAAGGGTGCTAAAGCTGGAGGCTGCAAGTCTGATTGGGGACAGGACAGTCACACTGTCTCCTATGGGAGGGATACTTAGGAACCACGAGGCAAGAAACAGTAACTTTACAGCGAAGAGACATCTGAACCAAGTGAGCCAAGTTCATTCACAACACTGCTGAGAAGGACAAAACATCACTTCCAGGGCGTTTTTTTGCTTTGTTTTGTATTTTGCCAAAAATGTATAATCTAAATCTAATCAAAAGGAAACACCAGGTAGACCCCAAATGAAGGACATGCCACAAAAATCAATGACCTGTGCTCTTCAAAAATGTCAAGGTCCCGAAAGAATGACTGAAGAATTGTCCCAGGTTCAAGGGGACGAAAGAGACATGAAAGCGAAACACAACACATCTTCCTGGATTAGATCTTGGACCGGGAAAGTTTTCTTTTGCTAAAAGGACGTTAATCAAACAAATGGCAAAATGTGAATGAGGGCTGTGGACTGAGCAACAGTACCATGTTAATATCAAGTGAATGATTTCACTACGTGTCCTGGGCTTACGTAAGAGAAAGCACTTGTATTTAGGAAATACAAATAGGACTGCAGAGGTTAGGGATCTTATGCCCATGACTTTCAAACAGTTCTGAAAAAAAGAATAATATGCAGATGTATGTACAGACTGATAAGCAGAACGATCAAGTAAATGGGATAAAATGTGGGCCTCTGAGGAACCTGGCTCAAAGGTACGTGGGGAGTGTTGGTGCTACTTGTGTCACTTCCCTGTGAGTCTGAAGTTACTTCCAAACCAAAGCCCTTCTGAAATGCGTAGCTGAGGGAGGAGGAGGCCTCCCAGCCGCTCCCAGGGACCAGGGAGGACAGCACGCACCTCGCCTTGCGTGAGGAAGTTGGCAATTAGCGCTCCCTTCACGGCATTCTCCAGGTCACAGTCTGAGAAGATGATCAGGGGTGACTTGCCTCCGAGTTCCAAGGTAACAGGTTTGATTCCTTTCGCTGCCATCTCTATGATCTTACAGAACAAAAACCAAAGCACTCGGAAGTTTAACAGAAATGAGAATACGTGTGGGGCGGGAAAGGGGACCAGGCCCTAGACCTCAAAGTCATCCTGACTATGCAGCCTGTCCTCTGTATACTCTGCCAGTGCCTATTTAAATATTCTTCTTGAGAACACGGAAGAGAACCCACCGAGCTGCACTCGACATTTTGAAGGGGCATGCACATTCAAAACAATGTCAATTCACTTTCTGGGATGGGCAGAAACTGTGTGTGTGACTGTTCCTGTGGTCCAGGCTGACAGAGCTCAGAGCACAAATGAAGGTCAAAACAACAAATCCGAAATACACTGAGACGGTACCCTTCCTTCCAACATGGCTGCTGTGGACGGGTTAAGTCACCAAACCACACAAGTGGAGGCCCAGGGCCTGCCCCTCAGACACAGGAGGTGATGACTTCTGTCCCCACCGGGCCCAACACCAGCCTGCCGCTATGATCACCTGAGTGCAGGCCCCTCCCTCTGCCAGGTAATGCCCACGGCCTCCCTCCCCAAGGAGCCAGGTAAGATCAGAGGACAAGCCTCCACCGTGCGCTCTGGGGAGGCTGGTGCCCACATCTAGATGCCATTCCCGTTAACCTGGACTGGTGGGATCTCACCTTCGTGCCAGTGGGCACACTGCCAGTGAAGGAGACCTTGGCCACGTCGTGATGCTGACACAGAAGCTGGCCTGTGGCGGCCCCTCCCTGCACCACGTTGAAGAGCCCGGGAGGCACCCCAGCCTCAGTGTAGATCTCAGCCAGCAGCAGCACAGACAGAGGCGTGAAAGGCGAGGGTTTGAAGATCATGGCGTTCCCTGCCAAGCCCAGCACACACGCACACACACACACAGAGACTCTTAAGGAGGTGACCCTCTGAGGACAGGACTAGGGGATGAGGCGGTTAAGTGAAGAGTTAACGGGAGCGGGCTTGTGAGCTGGCAGGAGCGAGCTCAAACATGAACTGCTTGGCTCTGACTGGCCTGCACTGCACCTGCAGGCTGACAAGCACCTCATCCATCATAGGAGGGAACAGAAGAGTTCCCAGTTGCAGTGTCAAACCCCTACATGCTGGGCCGGCCGAGTGGCGCGATGGTTAAGAACGGGCTTGGGACACCAGAGGGCCCTGGTTCGGATCCCACATATGAGGGCCAGTGACACTGCCCTCTACAGCTAAGATGCTGAACAACAGCTCAACCTGGAGCTGGGCTGCCATGAGTCGCCGGCGACGGCGCAGGCTGCAGTCGGTGGGGCTGCCATGAGTCGCCGGCGACGGCGCAGGCTGCAGTCCCTGTGACAGTGGGTTGCCATGGGCTACCGTGTGTAGCCAGCAGCCAGCGTGAGCAGCCGTCCAGAAGCCGGCGACTGATCTGCCTCACCCAGGAAGAGCGTAATGATGGTGCCAGCTTGGGCCAGTGAAGCAACGTCCTGCAATAACTAGACTGAACAACAAAAGGACAGCCACTTGTCTGTTCCCCTCCCCCAATTCCCCAGTGCTGTTCCCATCCCCCCAATTCCCCAATAAAAATCTTTAAAAACAAACAAAAAAACCCCTACATGCTGACATCCATCATAGAGAGGGGTGAGAGGAGGAGAGGGAGGGAGGGAGGAAGAGAGGGGGAGGGAGACCCATGGCTCACAGCGAACAAGCAATGCATTCTCACCACAGGCTAACGCTGGAGCCGACTTCCAGGAGGCGATCTGAAAGGGGTAGTTCCACGCGCCTATGCCCACGCACACGCCGAGCGGTTCCCTCCTGGTATACCCGAAGGACCCGCCTGGGAGCTGGATGTGTTCACCTGTGGGGATAACAGGAGCGAAGAATGCAGGCCTGTCTCCCGAAGACCTCACCGACACCGTGCTCACCTCTCACTCCTCCAGCCTCCAGGCTGCTACCGGCACACGGGCTCCCCCACCCCCGCCGCCACGCTCTCATTAACGCTGGACATTCTCACACAGCTTCTGCACATCCCCTCACATAAAGAAACCTGTCTACCCTCACATCCATGCTCTTCCAACCTAGCACAGGACTCTAAGATTTACGGGGCACCCAGGTCACTCAGAGGAAATGAAACGAGGGGAGACTCAGTGCAGGAGGGTCTGAGCCCCCAAAAACCCAGCCTCTGGCCCCCCACAGGCCTCCTGGGCTCTGCGAAACCACCCGAGTGAACTGACGTAAACTTCATCAACAGTCAGAGAACGTTTTTTGTTCAATCGCGGGTAACTCAGATGCTCGGGCTCCTGCAGGGCCTGGTTTGTCCACAACGTGGCCTGGGCTCGGGATCAGGTGAAATGCATTACACACGGCGTCTCACTTAAGCCTGTGATAACCAGGAAGGAGTGGGGGGCACCTGCAGCCTGAATGGGCAAGATAAAGCACTTCTCAGGCCCCCCGAGCAGAGTGACAAGCCCAGGGTTCTAACCCAGGCCTGTCTTAATCCCGAAACCCTGGCCCCTCACACCAGGCTCCGCCCTTCTGCCTCCTGGTCAGCTGGTCGCAGAGGCCGGGCGAGGGCTTACCGGCCATGGACCCGGCCAAGCCTGCAAAGAACTCCAGGCACTGCCAGGACGTTTTGATGTCGTCGCGCGCCTCAAAGATGGACTTGCCGTTGTTGATGGTCTCCATGATGGCGATCTCCTCCGTCCGTTCCTGCGGAAAAACGGAAGATTAGACTGAAGACGTGTTCCCATCACCACAGCATAGTCAGCACTCAAACAGGATACACCGCCCGGTTTTTACCAACAGAAACAGCTCTTATTTCACTGAAAATAACAGGAATGGCAGTGTTACTCTGGGAAGAGAGAGAAAAGCTTACTGCTAAACAGCAGCCCCGTTCTCCCTGTCAGGTTAATTGTCATGGATCTAAGTAAGACCAAGACCTCATTTCAAGCTCAGTTAGAAAAGGAATGTGAATATTACATATGTATACATGTATAAATCTGCATATACATGTGTGTGCAGGTATTTCCATGTATAGAGTAAGAAAGAACAGACCTTAGAGAAATTATACAAAATAGCCAGACACACAGCTGGCAGTTAAGAGGCTTTAATTCACCCAAAGAAATGCAGCATCATGTTCTGATGCTCAGTACACCTCAATTCTCTTTTCGAGTACTGTTTCCAGTTGTAGGCGACACGACTTAAAGATGCTGGAGGTGGCTCAGGAATGATGGAAAGGTTTGGGACACTGGACCTGAAAAGAAAAGCTAAATAATGCCTTTCTTTCTCCCCAAAGAAGATGACGCAATTAAATATGCATAAAGAAGATGAGGCAAGAGATATTTGCTATTACGGATCCAATTTCAAATAAACAGTAGGGTCAATGTCTGAAAGTACATAAAAGATGAGTCAAATAATTGACAAGCAGCAGCATTCTTATTAAAACTGGTGCACAGCGAGGCTGAACGCTAAGGCAAAATGGCAGGGCAACGGAAGTTGGCACAAGCATCTACCCGCAGCACGCATCTCGGAAAAGACAGGAGGAGGAATCTGAGACTCAATACACAACACAGAAAGGAGAGCCCGACAGTGACAACTGGCCATGTTCTGATTCTAGCGAGACCAGAGGGATAAAGTGCTCTGGCCCATCCACTCCACACTCGTTACTAAGAAAACAAGGGCAGATCCAGCTTCTGCCTCCAAAGACCTTACTTCTGAAAGACAGGGACAGCAAGTTCTAGATAAACATCAATTACAGCACAGAGTATTCCTTCAGACAGGATCATTTGTTCACATTCAAACATGGTCTAGACTCTAAACTTCTTCTAAACCAACAATTCACCTTCTCTTTTCCTGGTTCTATACTCACCCAAACCATCTTTTAAACAACGTGTTTCTCAGTTGCACAGATGCTGGAAAGAGGGAACGCAGGAGGGCAAGCATCAGTTCTTAATAAACAACCCTCATTCTTAGGTTGTTGGGTGTGATTACCATGAAACAGTTTTCCTTCCAAAGGCTTGGTCAATCACGAGAATGCCAGCGGGGGGCCAGGTCCTGAGCAGGACGCAAGGACCGCTCACTCACTCATCAGTGTGCGCTCTCAGTGGAGATCCGCTCAGACTCCCCACTGGCTTGGTCAGGGGCAGTTTTGGATGATCCTTGTATCAAAAGGTCTCCCAAGGATCTCTTAGGAATAACATTTGCTGGGAGAGGAGAGAATGATGGAGTAAGGCAGAGAAAATCTCCAAGGCCAGCCAATAAACTGAATTTTCTCTGAGAGCTGAAACCTTGAAACAGTCCTCAAAGCTAATTGCCTGTCCATTGTTTACAAAATACATCTCAAGAGACTAAAACTTCCTATTCTCAGGAAATATTCCAGGGCTTTGCAGCAATTGTCAAGATTACTTCCTGTCTGTTTACTCCTGTAATAACACAGCCGCCAACAGCATTTCACTTTTTCCAGTTTCGTATTTTGCATATATTTACCTTATTTTAAAATCCTTTTAAAAAGATAATGGACTGTGTAGTAAAAAAACAGAAGAGGCAAAGAACTGCAGATGTTGATTCACTAGAAAAATCACTAAAGGAAATAACAGGGCTATGGTTGTAGGTTGTGGTCAGAGGCGGGGTTTGTTCAGTTCCAGGATAACTTTGGGTAAGGAAGGCCCAGGGCTTGGGCCTCAGACAGGAGCTTCACAGAAAAGTAACATATTTCTAACTAATAAAATAACACGTAGATAGTAAAGGATATGGGGGAGGAATTAAATGGAAAAGCAAATTAATATCAGATAGAGTCCATTTCAGAGCAAAAATATTAGAAAGTATTCAGCATAAAAGAATTCATTTCCTAATGACAAAGGGGCCAACTCTTAAGACACAATAACCCTAAATGCTTCTGTACAAGGAAAAAGTGAAAGATAAAATAAGAAATGATCAGCTTTGAGTTATCACTTTTGGTCTATCAAATTAAAAATACACTTTTAACAAGAGGGAAAAATACTCTGTCGGGAGAAAATGCTCCATGAATATTTTGACCTTTCTGCGTGATCCAGGCTTTCTGAGCAAAGGACACGCACTGCCTGCAGATTGAAAAGTGAAAGCCTTGGGAGGCAGAGCATGTCTCCCTAAAGAGAGAGAGAGAGAGCGAGAGAGCGAGACAGCGCTTTCCACTTCCTCTTCCTGGAGACAGGTGCTTACATTCCGGGGTAAGGAACTTAGTGGAACCGGGTGTTCCCCCTTAACCCTAGAGATCAATCTGCTTAATGAGCACTCTCTCTCTCCTGCAGCTCCTGCACAAGCCAAGTCTCGGCTTGTTTTTTAAGAGGAGAACATCTATGAATCTGTGAAATCTTCCCAGGCAATTATGGCAGAAAATAAGTCTGAAAAAGGAAGGCAGGCTTAACAGTAGTCATGGAGCCGGGAGCGGTGGATTGGGGGAGGGGGGCTGTCACTTTCTGAGGGGTAAAAACTATAACTAGTGCATTGTTTTGTACACCTGAAACTAATAAAAAATAAATAAATAAAATATACCATAGAAAAAAATAGTCATCAGAGGAAAAAGGGAAAAGCACACATAGCTAAAAAGAAAAGGAGGCGAGCTGCAAAGGGTACATTATAACACAAACAAAGGCGGAAAAGAAAACCCACCACTGGAAACGTCACAAAGAGCCAAGATCCAGACGGGAATCACTGGATGAAAGCTTGTTTTATATACACCAAGGTGGGCTGATGGAAATGCTTTTTTATTTCATAAAAGAAGTATAACCTAACAGCGCACCAAAGTCTGACTGCAACTCATCACCAAGAGCGCTCAGAGCACCGCAAGGAAACTTTTCTGGAAGAGAAAGAATTACGACATACCCTTATCATCCTGGCAGCCTCAAAGAGGATTTGACCACGCTCCAGGCCCGATTTTTTACTCCATATTTTAAAGGCAGCTTTTGCATCTTGAACAGCCAAATTGACCTCTTTTTCTCCAGAGCAGGTGACGGTCGCTATCACCCGGCCTAGAGAGACAGGGAAAGGCAACGTTACCTCACACAGCTGCCACGCGCTGAAATCAAGTACAGTATTATGTATTCACATTTCCTCTCGGTGATCCCCTTCTTGTTTTTAAGTACGGGTTGATTCAGTGGCCACACCTATACCAGCAGCTCTTAACTCTATTTGGGGGTCTCTGACCCCTTTAGGAGTCTAATAACAGTTGCAGACTTCTCTCTAGAAAAATGTCCACAGCCGTATCACAGAATTAGAAATCATGTCCCTTGCCCCCAAGCACACCATAACCGTAAGGTTAAGAACCCTTCCCGCCTCTATTTTACAGCTGGGTTTACTAACATTAACTTCCTAGCCATTATTCTGCAATGCCCCTTAACCCTGTTTGAGCGTCTCAGAGGTCCTGCAAAACCTAAGTGGAAAGTACGCCGTCTCCTGGGTGATGAACTCTGACTGTAAAAGCCCCGTCTACGTTCTTTGTAAGTTATCTCATACTAGGAACGCTTGATGAACACGGTTAATAAACAGCTCTATCAGGAAATCGCATGGTTCATGCTCTGGCGATAGGCCAGTCTGGTTTGCAGAAAACACCTATTTTTCTCCACAC